TTGATAGTGGACACGTGTAACGAGTGGAAGCTAATGAAGTAAGTGATTTTAATTTTAGTTCTGTTTTGTGTTTAACTAAATTTTATGGTGTAGATAATTGTGAACTTGAGACAGGTAGTCGCAAATTGGACACCAATGATTCCCTGAATAATGATGACTCTGTAAATAAATGCTGATTTCAGATAAGAGGAGAAAGCGAGAATGAGAATTTTGAACAATTGAGAGGATCTGACAATTACAATGAACTAAGAGCACATTATAGACACGTGGACAGATAAACAGTCTGTGTCAGTTGTTGCGATGGAACAATATAAATACTGTACAGTTAAATGTTTTGTGTTGTCTTTTAATCTGTCATAATTATCCAATACAGTTTTGTTGTGACTAATTAGAATTGTACTTCTTGATTGGGTGTTGTGGAAGTTCTAGGCTATTTGAGATTGTTGGTAATTCGTTAGACCGTTTCGAATCCACAGACAATCATGTTAGTAATGAAAGTGAATAAAAGCGAAATACTTATTGAATTCCAGTAGAAATAACTAAAGTTTGATGAATATTTATCCGTGTGACGTTCGAATTTGTTGGTTTAGCAGAGGGCATGAATTAGTTTTTATGTGGATGTGGGATTTCACCTGTTCTTACTTGACTAATTGACATCCAGTGTCGGATACTGGATCAACTGAGTACGCTAACCCCTACGTCTCTAAATAATCAAAGCTGAGGCCAATGTAAACTGTTGGATATAGCCCACCAATTGCTTAATCGTGGACCAAAGCAGAGAAGCATATTAACTATTCAGTATTTTAAGTCACTAAAATAAGTACGAACGAACCCTGATATTGTCTTGTTAAAGCCTGATAAAAGATCCGGCGTGGTTGTCAAGAACAAATGTGGATGTAAAGGTAAGACATTATCGATTCTCAGTGATGAAAGTAAATTTATGCCTGATGGTGAATTTGCAGGTATTAGCAAAGTAGAGGGAAGAATAAATCCAAACATAGTGAAGCTGCTACACATGAATATTATTGGTAGGGAGGAATTTAATTTCCTGGAACCTATTGGTTCTGAGTATGGTCATTTACATGGATTACGTAAAATGCACAAACCAAACATTTGTTTACGCCCAATTTTATCAGTGCGTCGATCACCTACACATAACCGAGCTAAATTACTGGATCCTGTTGGAACACGTTTATATAAGTATTCTGTGAACGATTCTTTTGACTTGGTCGATCATTTATGTGATATTAATATCGAGAGAAAGACAATGTGTTCATTTGACGTGAATTCCCTGTTCACAAATATACCTCTGAAAACGACTATTGATATATTATGTGACCACACTTCTTTGAACAGCCTTGAAAAATTACCTGTTCCTTTAGAAATTCTTAAAGATTTAGCACTATTATGTACTGACAACGTCCAGTTCATATTTGAAGGTGAATAGTTTTGCCAGATCGACTGGTTGCTATGGTTGGTCCATTAGACCATTAATAGCAGACGTGTTCATAACACATGTTGCAAATCTAGCTGAAGACCTAGTCGTAAACATGTCTGTTTATAAGAGATATGAAGATGACACCTTAGTTATCTGTGAAAGAAAGGACGAAATGAATTGTTTATTGAGTAGACTTATTACTCCGCGAAATCACATCAGCCTTTGATGTGAAGAGGAGAAGAATGACCGGCTTCTCTTCTTAGACATGCTAACAAGTAGACGAGAAGATGGTTCAAGCAGACGATCCATCTTTCGAAAACCAACGTTGACGGGCCAATACCTTAGTCACAATAGTTACTGCCCAGTGCAATACAGATGAGGTTCGATGAGCGGTCTGTTTAATAGGATTAATCGTGTTTGCACAAACGGCGCTATGGATGACGACGTTAGGTTGTTAAACAAAACATTAGTGGAAACTGGCTATCCCTTAAAATCCATAAATAGATGGAAAGGTCACGGTATACTAAGGCCTACTATAACCTTGGCAGAAAGGAACCTGTCTACATCATTTTTCGGTTTGGAGGTGATTCAAATAGCTTTTTACTGAAACAAAGGCTCAAATAAGTTGTTAACAGGACGTATTACGCAGCAAAGGTCTTTATGAAAGAGAAAACAATGTCCATGTCTCAGCGAAAATGTAAAACACACGGAAATGATTGCGTCACATGCCACTGTGTTTATCGATTTGAATGTGTGTGTGTGGCCACATATACATGTGGAGGAGTAATCGTGATCTCCAAATTAGGGTGTGCGAACATGTACCTAAGTGGTTGCAAAAACCAATAAAATCAAGTGGTCCAATAAGAGTAGATGATGAACATCCATTCATGGAGGAAATTCACTGAGTAAGTTAATATTCGTAATAATAATAATACTAATAACAATACCACAACTGCTGCTATGAGAACAAATGCTAATTCAAAAACTAATACTGACAATATTACTCCGACTACTACTACTACCAACACTACTAATAATACTACGACGACTACTAGCAATACTACGACTGATACCAATATTAATAATACGACTACTACTACTACTGATACTGCTACTACTACGACTACTACTACTACCACTACTACTAATACTAATACCACTACTACTACTACTTCTATTTCTACTATTGCTGCTTCTGTTTATCCGAGATCAAATACTGTCGTGAACGCTCAGTAGTCAAGATTTCTTACAATCTGTGCTCTGAAATATTCGACTCCCTGGAATTTATTATTCATGAGAATTCCATGCGATTTACATTCATCGCACAGTAACACGTACGATACCCCATACACTATCGACCGGTAAAACAATCAAAAACACAAATGTGAGTAGTTAGAAAATTTATTTTCATTTTTTATATTGCAAAATGTACATGACGTCCAGGCTTTTTGATTGTTTGGCCTGGACGTTTTAAACATGTTCTGGTTTTACACAGCTTGACATTATTGTTTGACATTTTTTGCTTTGATGATGTGGATTCGCCATGTAAAACCGTGGTTTTTCCTTTCATTTGTTCATGATAATGAGTAGGTTGTCTTGGATAATAATGATAATAATAATAATAATTACAACAATTGTAGTAACAATAATAGTGGTAATTGTAGCAATGGTAATAGTAATCACATTGGTAATATTGATAGCAATAGTAGTAGTAGTTGTTCCTGTTCCTTCTTTTGGAGATAATTTATAATAATGAATTAGCAGTTGCATTGGATGTGCAAAACAATCGATGCTTAAGGTTCTGCTGTAGTGTTGTAAAGTAATATGCTTTACCTTTTAAATAAAAAATATGACGGTTTTCCACTGCATCGCAGATTTATTTTGGTCTGTTGTTGAAAATAAAGGCAAACATAGGAGACCTTTGGGGTCCCTTAATCGATGGAAAATAGGGTGTTCTGTATGTATTTAGGCGAAAAGTAGACAATTCAGCGGACATTTAGGCGTAAAGTGAGTAATTTATGGACAAAACGGCGAAAAAGGGGGAAATCCGTATTATTTCCCCCGGACAGGCGAAAAAGGCGACATTCTGATGCGTTTTCCCCTTTCGCTACCAAAGCATTTACCCCTTTATTTCCCCTTTTTGGGTTGTCTGGGGAGCTACAATGTTTTGGCTGCCGGTATTATTGCAAAAGTACCTGATATCAGAAATAAGTACTGATATAAAGCTGTCACGAGAAAGCACTGAAAAGTACGACTCGATAGCCAAGACATCTTGATCTAAGGTGACCAGATTGTGTGAGATCCTATGTGATGATCTTCGGAAATCAACCAAGGCCTGTCTAGCTTGCGTGCTGATGCCGTAAATGACAATTACTCATAACTTACGTGGGACTAGAATAGAATATGCATCAAGAATTGCAGGTTACACAGGACGATTCAAAGTAAATTCACACAGCAGTCTTTATATATGTTCATCGTCTAAGTTTCCGAAGTACAACCTGTCCAAAGAATTAAATAATACAATCCGTGTATGTTGTGACCCAGACTTTCCTAAGCAACGCAAGAGATAAAGGAAATAAGCGTGATTGACTATCCAAAGGAAGGGTGTGCTAAATGCACTTTCGACCTGTAATTGAATACTGGTTCCCGTTTTTATACTAGTTCCTGGTAAACATTTATACTGAAATAACTTTCCTGTCTATCTTATTTCCAGCTAGCTTCGCAAGTGTTCACAGACCTAACGGGAACAATTCCTGAGAAATAGAAGTCATTTATTAATGGATCATTTGTGCTAGATTCAAACTTTAATAAACGTTTTCAATTATAACGCACCAGTCTCTTGATTACGGCAATTCTTATCTATCGTGACACGTCGAAATCCGAACTACTAGTATGGTACACCATGTTCAAGGTAGCAGTATTTGGTAAACGGTATGTATGACTAATCGCGTGTGCGCCAAACTGGTAATTATTACACAAGAACGCGAAACAACACCCCTGTCTCACAGCCACATAAGACTGCACAGTACACTCCCTGCCGTTACGCTATAAGAATAAGTCAATGGCCATATAAATGAATTTATGTAAAACTAAAAAGATTACAATATCAGAACTTCTTGTTATCAAGAAGCATAGCTATGGTCTGTATTAACAATGGATTCCGACGTTGTAGCTTCGTCATTAGCACCGATCGAACTCATCACTTGTGCGCATATGTCTTCCGAAGCTTCGAGGCATGAACGGATGAGTTTACTTGTTAAAGGTTCACTAAGAGCATGGATCGAGTGGTAGTTGCTAGTGAACTTCTCTAGCAGACCATCACTCCCTGTAGAGATTGAGATGTTGTCCAGCGCATGAAGAACCAGGTCCATTATGTATTTTCTTGTCCAATTGTTGCTACGTCGAAATAAGTCTACAAAACTTATAGAGATAAAGGAACACACACACCTCCACGAATCAGATCTTTAGAATGTGCACACAAAATATGACCACAGGGCAGCATGTAGTCATTGAAACGCAATATTTCGACCTGAAGGATAAATTCATTTGAAGTAAGGCATACGTAGATGACCGAAGTTGTCTCCTTTGCCAAGGTTGTGTTGGCGAGTTAGAAGTTGTATGCTCTTTAGAAGAATGATTGTTACTATCATCATCTACATCCTGAACGCGAGCATCTGACTCTGACGAACTGCGTTTACGTCCATATGTACAGACATAACTCACGAAAAAGTACTTTAGAGTTGGATCATCACTGTTCTTTTTGCATACTGACATAACGTACTTAGTATGCGTATACTAAAAAATAATTATTAACCACAGAAGTCATATTACCTATATCATGCATCATCGCGATGGCATCGTCTTCGTTACTTGAAGAATGAACGTTACTAGACATGTTGTGACTAAACTCAATTCAAATCTAAAAATGTCTTGATTTGACCGCTTCTGAAAATTTTCACGAATTGTCGATGTGACGCACCAATCATTTTGCGACAGTTTGACCTTCAAGTGCTCGCAACCCCCATCAGGAGCGTTGCCCTTAAAGGTTAGTTTATGCGGGCGTATCTGTTAATATTTTGTGGTCGAAAATGACCTAACAAATGTTACACTTTAGACCTGGTATTTGGAGCCCACAAATATATTCAAGGTTAGTCAGTTTGGTTGCTAGATATTTTGATGATAAAACAATGCCTCGTCATCTGTCCAATGATTCATAGGAGATTCGATCATACACTTTTCAAAAAGCCGAAGTTCAGATTCAGATTTGTGTAGTAAGGACAGAAGGCCTACGGCCTGAGTTATTCCTTTTCTAGTATGCTTCTGTGAGTGTCCAGTCTTCTCTTGAAAGAGTCAATTGAAGGTGCGGATACCACTGTTTCTGGCAGCAGGTTCCAAGTATTGATGACTCAGTGTGAAAACCTGTATGCCACGGGTATTTTGTTCGTTCTTGTCTTTTCTACTCGCCTGCTATGTCCTCTGAGGTGTCCCGATCTAGTGGGAAGAAAGAGAGAGAATAAGTTAGGTCCAGTATTTAGATGATGAAATGTTTGGATTACTACACCCGATTTATGTGCGACCACATATAGAATACGGGATTCAAGCAGCGAGTCCTTGTTTCAAATATGAAGCAGATATGCTAGAAAGAGTCCAACGACGAGCTACTAAGATGGTACAAGGTCTAGCTGGCCTATCTTATGAAGACAGACTGAGACACCTTAACTTATTTCCGTTATCTTACCGTAGAGTACGGGGTGATCTAATATTGGCTTATCGTATACTGAACGATGACCTTGGTATTAACATGACTTATCTTTTGCTTCCGTCTAGAACCGATCATTTGAGAGGACATTCGAAGAAAGTTCAAAAACCGAGGTCAAACCGTTTACGTCTGGAGTTCCGTTTCTCGCACCGAGTAGTGAATTACTGGAATTCTCTACCGGAACACGTAATATCAGCACCGTCTGTTAATATATTCAAAACGAGATTGGACCTCCACAGTATTACAAACTGCAAGGATTAATATAGGTCGACAGACCTCCTATCCTTATTACTGAAGAGTGAAGACTGAAATCATTTCAGTCTTCAGTAATAAGGATAGTAGGTTGATGAACCTGTGTTAATCCTGACACATTGCTTTCCAGTGAAGGTCCAGCTTTTCCTTGAAAGTATTCACTGATGGGGCTGATACCACTTGTTCGGGTAAGGCGTTCCAATGATTGACTACTCGATGAGAAAAACGGGATCCCACTTTAAGTTTATTAGATCGTGATTTATGAACCTTCTTGCTGTGACCTCGGAGATTATTAGTGCTGGAGGGAGCAAAAAGATAAGACATATTAACACCCAAATCATAATTAAAGATACGAAATGCCAGTATAAGGTCACCTCGTGTCCTACGATACGACAAGGGGAAAAGATTTAGGCGTTTTAAGCGCTCATCGTAAGGGAGACTAGAAAGACCCTTCACTAATTTCGTTCCCACACGCTGGACACGCTCAAGGGAGTTAGTATCCTTTACTAGACACGGGCTAGCTGCTTGGATACAGTACTCTAAATGTGGTCTAACATATATGGGGTATAAAATTCGAAACGTTTCCTCGTCAAAAGATTTGAACGCTCGGCGAAGTGACCATAACGCACGAAAACCTTTGACAGCGGCTGCTTTGCAATGCACAGTTGTTTTCAAGTCATGACTTAATATTACTCCTAAGTCCTTATGCTCTTGAACGCATGGAAGAGGTTTACCCTCAATAGTGTAACGGTAACTATTACCGTGACCGACGTGCATTAGTACACTCTTCCTAGCATTAATTTCTAAGCCCCACTCTCGAGCCCATCTAACTAAATCGTCTAAATCAGCTTGAAGATCCACATGATCAGCCGCACTTTTTATTGTTCTCCAGATTTTTACATCATCTGCAAACAATAATGTCGACGACCTAAGTAACAGTGGTAACTCATTAACGTAGAGAAGGAAGAGCAGAGGGCCTAAGATGGTGCCTTGGGGTACACCACTTTTGACCGGCTTCCAATCGGATAGCGTTCCATTGACCCTAACTCTCTGTCTGCGGTCACATAAGAAATTTCCTATCCACTCATGTACAGTACCTATTATTCCGAAGCTCGTGAGCTTCTGCATAAGACCTACGTGTGAAACCTTGTCAAACGCTTTGCTGAAATCTATGAATATCACGTCGACAGACAGACCGTGATCTAGGGCTGCTGTCCAATCCTCCCTCGCAATAAGCAAGTTAGTCAAGCATGAACGCTTGTTACGAAATCCGTGTTGCTCAGGAGCTAACTGATTGTGTAAATCTATGTGGCTTAGCAACCTAACCCGAATTATCTTTTCGAGTAACTTAACGACTATGCTAGTTAGACTGACAGGCCGGTAGTTAGATACTATCTGTCGCTGACCGTCCTTAAATATAGGACTAACTATAGCGTCCTTCCAATCTCTAGGGAGTTGGGCGAGTGAGAGGGACATGTTGAAGAGTGTCGCAAGCGGTTTCGAAATAATGTCCGCAAGAGATGACAGCAACCGTGGATGTAACCCGTCAGGGCCCGGTATCTTACCAGGTTTGAGGTTAGTTATCAACGGAAGGACAGTTTCCTCAGTCACCTGTACGGATTCAATGGTTGGTATCTCGGTGTGAGTGGGACAAGTATTTGTTACAATAAACGTAGAGAAGACTTCGCTAAAATAATCTGAAAAAGTCTCAGCTTTTGCTCGATCTGATTCAGCTAGTAATTCTGAATTTTCGTGTAACAGCAACGGGGGAATACCATCACTACGTTTCATACGAAAACAATCGTTTCGGACAAGTACGGCTATCATATACTAACTGTCGTTCGTAAGTGGTACGGGATTTCGCTATGGTTTTCTTACAGATATTACGGTATTTTTGATACTCACGCTTAAATGGTGCATGACCTGTCAACAAGAATAAGTCCCAGAAATGTTTCCTACGCTTTAACAGCTTCCGGGTTTCCTTATTAATCCATGGAGGGCAATGTGATAGCTTACGTGCTGACCATGGGATAAACGGCGACGTTACGGACTCGAATGTAGCCTTAAACTTATTCCATTCATCTTCGATCAATCCATCCGCGTCGACCGACCAATCGGTCGAGATAGCACGGTTTCTGATTTCCGGAATATTAGCTCGCCAGATATTGGGACGGGGTGGAGCAGATACGAATTGTATACCATGTGTCCTAAACTTGAAGTGAATTACAACGTGATCACTGTTCACTAGTGGAGGAAGGTGCTGGATATCAAAGACATCCTCACAGTGGTGGGTGAGGGCGAGGTCCTGCAGTGACGGAACATGATGCAAATCAATATGTGTCGGTTTTGTGATACATTGTACAAGTGCACACTGAATAACGGTAGATAAAAGGTCGCTATCGAAACCGCTACCTGGAGCTGTAAGCTCTATCCAGTTGATATGCGGTGCGTTGAAGTCCCCAATGATGAGACAACATTCTGCCATACTCCAAGAACAGATGTGTCTTAGGATAAAGTCGTCAGCCAGACAAGACGGACTACGGTATATTCCCCCTATAGTCACTAACCCATTTCTAGATTTAATCTTACAACATGCAACCTCACATGTGCCACTGATATGAGCCTCCGATATGGTTGATTGTATACGAAAGTGATCTCCAACGTAAAATATTATACCTCCCCCCTTACGACTTGAAACTCTATCACTTCTGATACAGATATAACCAGCGATGAAAGGAGAACAGTCTATATCAACGGTGAACCAAGTTTCTGTAACAACGATTATATCGGGACATAATTCTTGCACCATCAGACTTAGCTCGGACGTTTTATTTCTAAGACTACGAGCGTTCGTGTAGCACACACTTAAGGTGTTTTGGAAATCAATCGTTCTACCCATACAGGCCTCGGAAGCATTGGCTTCCAAGACCTGACTACCCGAAAACCCTTAATGGTAAGGTTATTTTCGCCATTTAATTTGCGAGTCCTCAACTCCGTAAGAGCATTCTTCCACTTGATTCGATCCTCAAGCGGCCAATCTGGTCGAATACGGATATTTGAGGCACGAGTTTTTTGTGCGCTTTTCAATAATATGTCTCTTTCTTCGAAACTCCCGAGAACCAGCTTCAGGATCCTTCTTGGTTGGGTCTCGCCTCCAACCCATTTACCAAGTCGTATTACTTTTGTAATATGTACCCCTGAAACCTCTTCAGGTAGTACATTCCTGACCACAGACTCCACTAACTGTAGGTTATGTGCGTGTCTTTTAGCAGGGTCGTTGTCTTTCGACTCCTCTAGATTCCAAATAATTAAACTAGGGATGGGTTTAGCTTCTTTTGAAACTGTGTTCACAGCTTTCGACCGTGACGTTAGATCCTGTATTTTAACTACTGGTAGCTTACGATTAGTTTTTATTTTAACAGAGTCCTGGGAGTCAAGCGAATGACTCACAACAATGTCAGACGAAGCTTTACTATGAGACTTTGGCGGATTGGTCTGAGAGTCCACCAAGGACTTACCAAGTAAACAGTCATTAGTTTTAGCTATCTTTCCTACTCTTCTGCGTTTTCGCGTCATCCATTTTCCATCAGTCGAAACGTCTACATTAGGACAACTCGGGACAGTAATTGTTTTATCTGGGTCACCGGTTGCTGCTGTAGCAATATGGCCACCAACGTCTAATGACGTGTCACTCACTGATCGTTTCGGGGGAGAACGTTTAACTGTGGGTTGCACAGGTAGATGTCTGGCTTGCGCCGTGATAGCACTTACGACACAAGCGCAA